TGATACAGGCGGGTGGATTATTAACGATTACAGCTGATTCATTTGTCCCAGTACACAAGATGAAGAGGAGGAGGGAGCGATCAGGAGCCCCGCAACTTCGCCTCCAGTAAGAGTGTGTGTACACAGCATGTTCAAATTTGTATGTGAAAGCGAATGAAGATTAGGTTCATATCAACACAACAAGAGCTGTATCCCATTTCCTTCTCTTTTATTTGTGCTGAACAGACAGAGGTATTCTTATATAAAAGTACCACCTCAAGATCAGTAATGTGAATATTGTGATTTATCTGTTTAGTCTCTATTTTAAGAGGAAAATAACAGAAAAGAGCTCATCTTAAGCTTATAGGAATAGGACAGGCTCAGGAACTGATGCTTGGGCCACTTCGTACTTCATGGCACGTTCATAATCACTAATAGTGACCAAGTTCCCACAGTCCAAAGTACATTTAGCACTTTAAAAAGAGATTGTACTCTGAAAGGCTTTCCTGCTTAAATACAAAGCTAAAACAAATAAGTTACAAGATAAATAAAATGCTTAGGTTACATGAATATTTTTTCCTGATCTCTTACCACATGATACCTACATTAGCAAACTACAGGCCAACCAGACGTTTAAGAGGCTTAGCTTTGTCTTTACATTAATTTCAAATAACATCCCCAACAGTTGCTTTTATTGTTTAACCACATACTGTATTTCACAAACTGGACATCATTGGACAAAGTCTCTTCATATATTACACTGGAAATATTCATATGATCCATTTAAGACAACAGAAAATTGATACCAAAGAAGAGAATTAAAAGCATTGATGATATAAAATATAAAAAATTACATATTGCTTTTGGGAATTTAAAGTTAGTGCATACATGAGTGAGATGTTTCGTTTATGGTATCGATGTCAATTTAAACTTTAATATTTTCAAATAAAGACAGAAACTTTGTGTAGGTGACACATCATTGACCCACATACATTCACAGTGCTGAACACACATAGTGTACATACATAGTGAGTCAGTGAAATGGAAACCATGAGGAGCCATGAACACGAGAAGGTATCAGAGTGAGATCCCAGCAGGGAGGGAAATCCTTCATCAGCTTAACAGATTACTGTGACTCTGTGCTTGCACTCTTTCACATGTGTATACAGCTAATGTTGTTTTTTCTTACTTTCTGTGGAGGTTAAGAATAAATTATTAAGGCAATGCTGGCCTTTAAGAAAATATATTGTAGCATATTGTATGCAGAATAATGAAATATTAATAATAATAATAATAATAATATATTGCAATATTTATTTATAAGAATTTGCACACTGCTGTTATTTAAAATAAGAAGCACAGACAAACACCCCCCCACCCCCACCCCCAGCTTTCGAGTTGACTGATATGTTTGTGTTAATATAGAGAAGCAACATGCATCATCTTCAGTGGTATTTTTCAGCTCATCTCAATCAACTTTATGTGACACTGTCACTACAAACCTTCCAAAAACCTACTGGTCAGACTGCTCCACACTGATATTTGGGACACAGTGTTGTTTTTTTTCACTGCTATGCCAGCTGGTGTGACTTAGTTTCCAGGCTAGCATTTGATGATGACTTTGTCTTTAATTCTGCTTCCAAAATTGGTTTGTTAAAAACTATAGAGGCACACCACAGATGGCCTTACAGTATGTTAGGTAAAAACTGCAGATACTAAAATGTGTGCAGCCCTTGACCTCCCAGTAGGTGGTCTCTCCCACTCTGCCCCATCCAGCAGGGGGGAGGGGACGTGGAGATCAACACCATAAGGTCATTCTGCCCTGCATAGCTGTGACAACTGACAGCTGAATTTAAACCTAAAACAGTGTGTGCTTCTTATCACTACCACTCACTGTAACCCAGTGAGTTAGACTAAACAGATTGAGTCAGACCAATTCTATCCACATTAGTGCTATGACTTAGCTCAGTCTACCTGCTGACCCGGTGCCTCCCTGGGAGTACTTA